TATGCACTCGTGGGATTAACTTAGTGCTAGGGCATTGAATATCGAACAATACGTCAATTTCAATGATTTTGGGTTTTTTTGAGACACCCTGTAGTATACAAAACAATAGATACTCCGAAAATTGAAAGCATTTTGAAAATTTATTTCGACGTTTCGACTAAACTATAGTCATCATCAGGAAATGATGATGACTATAGTTTAGTCGAAACGTCGAAATAAATTTTCAAAATGCTTTCAATCTTCCGATCTATCTACTCACTATTGTTTTGTATTTTATCAAAATACTCGTGCAGTGGTTCCCGTAATGGCTATAGTATAGTCATTCAGTGTCATTGTTCCTTGGTTGTGAAAACAATGCAGCATTCAACAATTCTGGGAGACCATTGCCCCCCCCCCCCTTTATCGTCGCTGTTCTAAATGCTTCCACAACACTGTCGTGTATTCTATTTAAATTAAAACATAGTTGTAAATAAAAGTTTGATGAGTGCATCAAACCTTTATTTTGTTAATCTTGACTTGAAATATATATCTCCCTTAACAATTCGCCAGTGACTGCCAACTCTCATCAACTCTCATTCTCGTTTGACCGGGGCTTTGTCGACTTACGTTGTTGCCACCAGGAGGAAATGTAGAATGAGAAATAAGCAGTATGTTGAGAATTAGGGAAATTACGCAATCATTTTGTAAACTGTCACGGTTTTATCATAGAACAGCATGCATATGCTGACGCAAGTGTTTTAAACGCTCACGTACATGAGTCCGAGCTTTATCAGATATAAAGCACTCGACTAGTCGACCTGCGCTCTCATGTTTTGAGGCCCAGTATCTCCGAAACTAAAATTTTAACGCAAAAACTAATCTGGAACTTACTAACTAACTTTTTATGCTCTACAGCTCTATCCGAATAATCAACAACCCATTTTGGGTTTATAAGCACTTTAAGCACTCCTGCTCGTGTTTTAAATGGTGCTAAGAATTATACAAAAAAGGGTTTCATTCGGAAGCTAATACTCTAATCTTTATTACTGTGAAGAATAAAATATGTGCACTCAATATTAAGCGCATAAGTGACAAGATCACTGAAAAGCTGCATTAATACGAGAACAATGGTAACTAGGCACGTGTGTTCTACTGTATATAACAGTGTTAATCGTGTACGTAGCAACAGACAGGGAAATTTAATTAACAATGGTCTCGTTCATCAGTTAGGATTTCTGGGTGTCTAGCTTCGTCTCCCACGCTTAGTTCCCAAGGTCACACATTGTCACATATTTTTCGGTCTGGATGAAAAAAATTTCCTGTTTGAGTGGGTGGGAATTAAGTTATGAAATCACGGACATCATGGCAACTTCAGCAATGTTAACATATCTATGTAGGCGCAATAAATTTAAACTATATCTCATTTTCTCAAATTTATCTAATTCCTCCAAATACATAGACTCTACATTCAGTAGAAGTCCGAATGGTAGCGAATCGAGTTAATGGGGTCGGTGTTGGATTTCGTTTTTTAGATAATAATTAATAAGGTATAGTTGTTTTATTAATTATTATTCATCACAATTGTGAGCCATCACTGTGCACTGTAAAGAACTTAGAATTAAACAGTACCTATTACGTACATTGTTTAACGATACAGAACCTATAGCAACAGTACCTATATGCCTATAAGCTAGACCAGTAATGATTGACACAACTTGTTGAACATTTTATCTCTAATATCTTTATGGACATATGATAATCCAAACTTTTGACTTGTCAATGCGCTATGTTGAAGTTTGCCGACCAGGTCTCAAAATTATCGATAAGTTCGAGTTAGTTATCAGGGTAAATTTGACCAAGGGAAAATGAAATTCGTTTGAATTAAGTGAGTCAAATTAGCGGGGGTTCTACTGTTTACTCAAAACAATTAAGTCAGAGGAGAATCTTTTGTATGTTACATAACACGCGCTCAAACTAATGAATATACTTTTGACTTTTCCCGCTTGGTTACGACGTTTTAATCTTTGATATGTTTCTCAAGCGGCAAACAAATTTAAAAAGTATGTTTATCTGTAACATTATGCCAAAGTAAAGCGATTTTAGATGGTACGCCGCAAACTCAAAGAGAAAATGATATCTGAAGTTCGGCAAGTTTGGCTAACTTGCTGTATATAAATATGGCGTCAATTTCACAGCATGTTTGGTTTTAAAGTTATTTGCTGGGCTCTGCTCTTTGTTTAAATTGGCATCACTAAATATGAATTATTTGTTAGTATAACTGGCACTGCAGGTTGTCGACCACCAACAGTGGACCATATCAAGTCATACCATATACAGTGCTTTCAAGTCTACTGTCTTTTGTGAGAACCATGTTTTGATAAAAATGCAGATATACGTCACAGAAGGTCACGTTTGTTATATATTAAACAAATAAATTGTGACGCGAAGTTAAATAGAAACACAACAGTTGGTTCAGCAGTCGAATTGATTCCACCAAAATTTCGTAGCCGGAATATTTTCGTCAAGAGTGAAATAATTCTTGTTGGTTTGACATTTCCGTGGTATTAAAGTGATTAAATAAAGCGATTAAGTACTTTTCTGTAATTCCTTCGGACGTCGACCGTGGGCTAGATTGTAACTTGAGACAATATTGTAGTTGGACTGCTTAAAATATTAAAGTGTTCATATACTGTCGTCGGTCCTCTTGACTCGTGGTTTGACGACCAATCCAGCGAGCTTTAAAAGAAAGGTGAAATTTGAAGACTAGTTTCTATCGGTAGGTGGAATACGTATCAATATTTAATAGTTTACAAAGCGAGACATTCTTTATAATCAATATAAAGATGACTCGACGAAAACAAAATGAACTGTTACTGACTCGCTTGTCAGTTGAACTCTCGTGGGTCTGCCCATACTGTTGGAAATTGTTTTCACACGAACTGCACGCCATCTCGAACAAATTTTGCTTCCTTTGACCGAAATTTACTGTAATACGATTGGATACATACAAATAATAATTGTTTTGTAATTTGACATTGATTCGTTAATCTCGAACCCCCGCGATCTCGAGTAATTTCATCGCTTCCCTTGG